ACTTTCCTACGCTCAACTACAGAAGGAGCTCCTGCCCCATTTGTCCATTACCTTTCCACAGAGACCTACATGGCTCTTTGGGGCGGGAGGGGGAGTGCCAGGCAGAGCTGCCTCTTTCTTCTTCTCCTCAATGTGCTTCATTCTTTAAAAAAAGAACTTATCAGAAAGAAAAGCTATCACTGCATCTTAAGCGGTGAACAGAGTGTGTCTACCCAGCAATCTTAAGAGAAAGGGAGTAAAAAGCAAGTGCACTGATGGAGGGGTGTGTCTGTGTGTGTCCTGATTTGGGAAAATATTAAAATGTGTAAAGAGTACATTTGGGGGGTTCTCAAAACTATAGGAGCCCAGATCTCCACCTGGTGATCTTGCCTTACTAGTGCCTCTGCATGGAATTGGTCACAGAATCCATTTTACTTCCTTCATGAGCCTATGGCTCTGTCCACCAAATTTTCTTTCTTGAAAGTTTGGATTTCCCCCCTCTGACCAACCCTCTCTCTAATGTGCCGTGCAATTTATCTTATGTCTTTATTCACTATGTTGTTTCCTTGTCTGCTGTGCCAACAGCAGTCAATGTAACAGAGAGAAGGTAGACAAGCATAAATATATCAAAACATCTCAAGTTTAGTAACGTTATGGAAATGAATTCATTTATCCACAGTCTTAAAATACAGTATTGGAAATATTAAAAGAGAAATGCTGAAAAGATTGATCGATTGATTCATCGATCGATCGATTGATCGAGAGAGAGAGAGAGAGAGAGAGATTTCTAAAGGTGAAGTTTCCAGAACTGGCCAATAGAGGGAGGCAGAGACCATGCTATGTATAGTTTTCACTATTAAAATACATTTTCTATAATCCACATTTTCCATAACCGGGGGGGGGGGAATTGGAACCGATCCCCTTAGATACAGGAGTCCTACTGTACATAAAACTGATGTTCCAAAGTGGGGGGAAATTAAATGCCATTCTGTTAACACTGTAAAATACATTTGCTGAAGGCACACATTCCCAGTTTAGAAGATTTCAGTCTCAGGATAAAGCTAATTGATTGACTAGTTTGATTAAAGTTTTCTGTCAGTGGTACTAAAATAAAGCTATATTTTTTTTAATTCTGAATTTACATTACATCGCTTAAACCATAACAAGACTTTTAAAAAAACCTTTTACTTAACTATATGTATCTGACCTCTCAGTAACACAGATTTTCTGGATAGCTTACTACCAGGACATTATTTACAGATTAAAACAATAGAGCCAAACTTTACAAATGATACAATATTACCTTTTTGTGATTAAACAGACTTTGGGCTAAATCTAATGTTCTACTAGCAGATGCCAAGGAATGTTTTTCTCTTCCTTTTCTCTCCACTGCTGCAATCCTCAGTGCCACTCAAAAACTGTTCTGGGTTTTTTCCCCAGACTTCTAGCACTGGGTTTTGTGAATTACAGTGGGGTCTCGACTTACGAACGACCCGACTTGCGAACAATTCGAGTTACGAACCTGCCCTATAGGGAAAGTAAGGACTCGACATGCGAACTTCCCTCGAGTTACGAACAGGGAAAAAAGTCCCCCCTCCC